CCCCGCGGGGGTGAGGACTGCAGATAGCTGCGGCCTGGGAGCCCGGCCGGCGCCCTTCGCCCCCGATTCCCACTCGACTTAATGTCATGTCCTTGGCGTACGTGTCAGTCGCAGGGTGGTTGAGGTTTCTTGGGTGATAGAAGAGAACTGGCCGCCAGTGAAGCTTGATTCTCTCCTGGGCGCCTGGGCTGCGTCAGTTTTAAGAATCCAAGTGGGAGGTGCTGCTTATGTTGTTGCTTTTATAGCGAGTTGTTTGCTTATTGATAGCTTTCCCTGTAGTTAGCAGAATTAGAGGAAGTGGGGACGGCGTTGGTGTCACTGAATGCAATGTTAACGCTAATTTTTGGTCTGATGATTGAGGGGAATCGTTCACGACGGCAATCATCAGATAACCCGCTCGCACCCCACCAGAGGCCAGAGGAAGGTGCAAAGTCTTTGGTTGTTCAAACCTCCGCACAGTTTTATGGGGACTGTACTTCCTGCTCCCGAGCCACAGAGCGCTTACACCTCTTCCATCAACCACCTGCCTTTTTCATTCCCACCCCCCAACCCCGTTTCATTTCTACCTGTCGAAGTAGAAAGAGTTGTCACTCCCCTTCTAATAAATTTACCCAGAGTCCTCCAGGCCTGGGCACGATCGCTTTCCCCACTTGAAGCTTCACTGTATTGTTTATTTGTAAAATGTATTGTGTGCCATCTCTTCTGTCGTTTCTAAAGGAATATTATTCGTGTGACTTCCTACAATATCCTGTGTGTGTCAGGAAATACTTATGATGCATTGGATACAGCTTTAGCTGTTTGTTTTAAAGTCGGTTTTCAATGAAAAAGAGGCATGGGCATTTTTGGCTGTAAGCCCTTTTTGTTGCACTAGCTATGTTGATTAGTGGAGAAATCTCAGGAATTGGAAGCAGTTCTGATAGTGCTGTTATGGAACAGCGACAGTTGATTTACATATTAAGGACTTTATTGTTCCACTGTCTTTCTTTGTTTTTTAGAGGTAGTGATGGAATCATAGTAAGGTTTCCATAATCTCCTGACTAGAAATTGAGCACCAAGAGAAAAGGGACCAAGTTTTCTTAGTTTTCTGTGTATCCTCTGGTTCTGGCACAGTGTTTGGGACATGATAATGATCAGTAAGCACTTATTTTGTAGAATAATGATATTTCATTAGGAACAAAAATAGGCACTTATGAACTGAGGAAAATATGATATTTGATTTGGTATGGCTTCTAAGGGGCATGAATACATGCTTTTGAGCACTTTGTTTTTACAAATTGATGCTGAATATACTTTTGTTTTTATTACATTTTTAGGTGGCTTTTTCTCAAGTATTTTTTCCAGTCTGTTTGGAACTCGGGAAATGAGGATCTTAATCTTGGGATTAGATGGAGCAGGAAAAACCACAATCTTGTACAGATTACAGGTTGGAGAAGTCGTTACTACTATTCCTAGTAAGTGCTGTTACGGTAAATTAACTGTAAAAGCTGCTTTTTTTTTTTCCATCTAATACAATGTTTATTTCTGAAGTCTAGATTAGAAATTGGTAGATTATTCATGTAAAATTCTAAAACCAAACCAAAACAAATGAAACACACTGCCATTGAGTTTATACCAACCCATGGTGACATGTAGGACAAGGTAGAACTGCCCCCATGAGTTTCTGAGATGTGATTCTTTACAGAAGGGGAAAGCCCTTTCTCCCATAAAGTGGCTGATGGTTTCAAACTGCTGACCTTGTGGTTAGCAGCCCAGTGCATAAGCACTATGCCCCAGGCTCCTTGTAAACTTCTAGTATAGGCATGATGTTTATAACATTTCTTAATCAACTGAGGGGCAATTTATTGAGCTGTGAACCACAAAGTCAGCAGTTCAAACCCACCAGTGCCACTCCTTAGACCACGAGGCTGTCAGCTCCTATAAAGATTTAAGATCTCGGAAACCCAAAGGAGCAGTTCTGCTCTGCCCTATTGGGTCACTGAGTCAGAATTGATGGCAGTGGGTTTGGATATTGGTTTATCTGCTCCTGCAGGGTGTTCTAATGGTAGAGCGGGTTACACATTGGACTACTAACCCCAGGGCATTTCAGACCACCAGCTGCTCCCAAAGGAGAAATAGGAGACTTTCTGTCCCATGATTTATAGCCTTAGAAATGCACAGGGGCCAGCTCTACAGGGCTACTATGAGTCGGAATCAACTCAGTGGCAATCAATTTGATCTCTCCTGTAAAGAAATCTTATAATAGGGTCAGTGAGTCAGAATCTGCTTGATGGCAAGAGATTCGATTTGGGTTTTGTCCTCTGGTGTGGAAAAGTTTTTGCTGTGTTGGCTTTACTGATGAAATTAAAAATGAAGAGAGGAACTATCCATTGGCTTTGAGGGAAGGGGAAATAAATATAAATGTGAAAGTACTTTGTAAACCTGTATAAAATATTCTATCAGTGCTAAATGATATTCTTAGGTAGATGTGATATTAGGTAGAAGTGGGCTTTCCTTTACTGTACTTACCGCTATTTTAATTAAATTTGTTTTTCTCAAGTAATTCTATTGATGACCATTATTAAGATCTGAATTGTGGAGGCTGAGTCATAAAGTCATCTGGGGCCTAAATCTCAGATGTCTTCGAACAGTATTCCTAGAACGGTTTGTTACACTTAATAAAGATGCTTGTATTTATCAGGAGGAAGATGGGTTTTCTATTCCCATACCGAGTAGCCGTCTCAGAAATCCAACAAGAGGCAGTTCTACCCTATTCTGTAGGGCTTAAGTTGCCATACGTCGGCATCAACTCAGTGACTGTGAGCTTAGTTTGGTTTGGGTTACTTATACCTTTTCCACTTGCTGACCTAGAGTTACTTAAAGATGATACAGAGAGTGATATAAGGAAAGTGCTAAGTATACCCTTCAAAGGCAGAAAACGTACGAGACTCAAAGCATGTTTGTCAAGTTCCAGCTCTCATGGGATTCACTGTACATTTAAACTTATGTTTAAGAGTTGATAATGTTTTCTGGCATGTCTTTATGTTTGCTAAGTTTTCTGTGTCAGGTATTTATTAGTAACATTTAAACTTCCATATATTTTTAAAAAGTGGAACAATTTGTTTGGCCCCATTATCATCTGTTACTTTTTGCTACTGACAGTAAACCCAAGCACCGCTGGTTTTTGCCCTGCAGAGTTGTTCATGTACAGTGTGGTGTCTCTTGGTGGCACCGGCAGGGCACCCAGGAGAGTGGATTACTTCTCAGTGAAGGCTGTTTTATTCCCCCTCTTGTCCTTTACATGTCGAGTGGCTCCTGTTCATGGTGAGCATAAGGTGATCTTACTCCTCCCTCATGCTAAGGAAGACGGCATGAACACACTTTCAAGTTTTTCATTTAGGTTTGCTAAGGTTCAGTTCTAGTTACAGACTTGTCATGCATAAATGATTGACCGGTACATACCAAAATCTAAAGAAAAATGGAACTGATTCTGTTAGAATTAAGTCATTTTCACTTTGCGCTTTTTAAAAAAGCTGGTATTTGTTGCCTTTTTATACACAGCTCCTAACTTTTTCCAGCACCCTCTCCACCTTCTATAGTTTCCTTTTCATGGAAAATAGAAGTGCATTGCCTCACCTGAGTGGTGGCAAAAATAGGAAGGGGACACCTCTTTGGCCTTCCCTCCAGCAATGATTTTATTGTAAGATGCTTTCAAAGTAGATAAAATTACCTTAGAGAGCCCAGCTTCCAAAAGAATCTGCCAACTTTTTTTTTACCTATACCCGCTGAGATCTATAATCTAGTCTTTCTTGGTTTTGATCCTTATTTATTTGCCAGAATTCCAAGTTTTCCTCATTCACCTACAAATATATTTTCTGTGTTCTTTTTCATGCTAGTACTGTGACTGGAACTTAATAGGATTTTCCTTAGGTGGTTGGTTCAGAGTTGTCATTCTCGATCCCCAGTCAGTGATAGCATATGCAGCCACTTCCTGTCTGTCAGTGATGGCTTGACATTGGTGGAGCTTCCAGACTAAGGTGAATTAGAAAGAAATGCCTAGTCTACCTGAAAATATCAGTCCATGCAAACCCTTAACTGAGTGTGGTCTGGTCCATGCTGATGGTGGGGATGGGGCAGGACCAAATAGCATTTTCTTCTGTAGTGCCTAGGGCTGTTATTTGTGGCTAGCTCTATAACAGCGAGCAAGAATTAGGCATTTCCAGAGCTGGCTGGGAATGTTTGTATAGCCTGGATGATGCTGGTCTTGGCCCTTGGTGGTAGTGAGTGAGTAAGGGTGTGTTTGTGTTTGTGTTGCACAGATTCCTGCCCTGTCTTTAAAAAGATTTTCAACCAAAAGTGTGATTCAGCAATTGAACCACTGTTCACATGTACCAGACAAGCATGATGCTTAAAGTAGCCATTTAATTGAGTGGATATTTGAAGGTAGAATATTAGTCTGACACATATAACTGATTTGATTTCTCTTGCAGCCATTGGATTTAATGTTGAGACAGTAACATACAAAAACCTTAAATTTCAAGTCTGGGATTTAGGAGGACAAACAAGTATCAGGTATGGTACAAACTCAGATTATTAATTTTGTGGTATTTTACATTTAATGGCTTTTTGAAGCTTTAGTAGTTAATCCAAAATATGTCATCTTTGTAAATTAAGCAGGAGCCACCTAGTTTAAAATGAGGTACTTTTGAAGCCCCTGTTCTCCAACAACGGGGTGTAGTTGGTGCCCTGGTGGTGTAGTTGGTGCCCTGGTGGTGTAGTTGGGCATTGGGCTGCGATCAACAAGGTCATCAGTTCGGAACCATTCCTCAGGAGAAAGACAGGGCTTTCTACTCCTGTAAAGGTTACAGTCTTGGAAACCCACAGGGGCAGTTCTGTCCTGCCCTATAGGGTTGCTATGAGTCCGCATCCACTCAGTGGACTTGAGTTTGGTTTGTGTGTTTGGTTCTCCAAGAGCATTGACTAAATTAAAATGTGTTTAAGGAAGCCAGTTTTTAAATTTCTTTGAAATGAAAAATCTTTTCATGCACAGAAATTTCAGGATTGAATTACTGTAGTAATTTTTAACTAGAAACATCCATGTGTTTAGTTCTTAATCAGCCCACCCCTGTGAAACAGATTGTTTTGGAATTCATAAAAATACCTTGCAGGCCCAGCAGTTAGGGCTAATGTGAGTATAGATGGTCTTCAGAGCTCAGGTTTCATCTGCTAACCCTCGGTACTTGGCATGGCAACTGTGACTACTCAACTAGTAGCTTAAAGGCTAAAGTTTCAGCCCACCAAGAGGCACCTTGGAAGAGAGGCTTGGTGATGTGTGTTTGAAAGGCCGCAGTAGAGCAGTTCTACTCTGCACACGATGAGGTTGCCATTATTCAGTGCTGACTTAACAACAATTAACAATGTAGTTGCTCACTATGGGACTGTTTAAAAGATGAATAGAGCATTCCCCAAATATCCTGGCTTCTTTTAGCTCATTATATTTCTTGAACTGGTTTTGAGCCTATTCCAAATTTTACTCATTGCTACTTTTTGGTGTCTTCAGTGACCAACTTTATGCCTAAGTTTTGTGATCAGTTTATAAATGGTCTTCAGAAAGATCATGGAAAATCTGTGTTACGATAAGCTATGCATGAATTTCCAAAACATTTTACACCAGAATAAACTCAGACTAGTTATACAATTGTCTGAATAGGATAGTGTGAGGCACTGAGAATGGTAACACATCAGTTTGAAAAAAAGCAACATAAATTCTGCTGAAATTGAAGCAAGAGCAAACAATCAAATTTATGGTGAAGCTTAGGTGGGAAGATGGTGAAATCATTGGTGCTTTGCAAAAAGTTTATGGGAACAATGCCTCAGAAGAAGCCGTTTGCACCTGGATAACTTGTTTTAAGAAAGGGTGAGATGGTGTTGAAGACGCAGCCTATGGTGACAGACCATCCACATCAGTTTATAAGAGAAAAACCTTGAGCCCTAACTGAAGATGACCAGCAATTAACAACAGAAACGATAGCACAACAGTAGACATCTCGACTGGCTCAGACACAATTCTGACTGAAAGATGAAAGTGGAGCAAACGTTCTGCTCAGTGTGTGCCAAAACTGCAGTGCCCACCTCAGCTGCAGATAGGGGCAGAGCTTTGGGTTGAGATTTTAAACAAGGGAGAATGAGATCCTGAAGCATTTCTTGGAAGAACTAGAGGAAACATGACTTTACTATATGGCCCTGAAGATACAGCACAGTCAAAGCAAGGGCTACCAAGAGGTTCAGTCAAAGGAAAAAAAATCAAGAGTGATCAAGGTCATGGTGGTAGTTTTTCAAGATGCTTAATACATTTTGCTTGTTGACTTTCTAGATGGTTAAAGAATTATGACATCTTTTGACTACTGGAGTTTTGAGAAAGGCCAAGTTTTCGCAGAAAGCTTTACCAGAGAGCCCCTTCTTTACCATGACAAAGCCTCTGCTCATTCTTCTCAACAAGCAAGGGCAGCGTTAGGAGAGTTTCCATGGAAATTGTTAGGCATCCACCTTACAGTCTTGAGTTGGCTCCTTCTGGCTCTTCTTTTCCTAATCTTCAATGTTTTTAAAGGCACCCGGTTGTTTTTTTTCCTTTAGTAATGTTAAAACAGACTGCACTGCCTTGGTTAAATTCCCAAGGCCTTCAGTTCTTTAGGTATGGATGACATGCCGTTACTTATAAAAGTATCTTGAGGGAGCTTGAGAAATAAGGCTTATACTTTTTATTATTTCCATTTTTTATGAACTTTTTGAAGACCCCTTCCTTGTAAGGTAACCATTAAGTCACATTAAGAAAAATCTGTTCATTTGAAAGGATTCCTAGTTGGACTTGTAAAACATGATGAAGTAGGTCTATGCATAACCTGTGTATCTAAATGTGTAGTGGTTTTATAGATTATAATTACGTAGCTTCAACATGAAGGCTCAACTCACCCTGAAATTCCTTGGCCCTGTGACTTAATGTTTATTGTATTATCAACAGTCTTTTCAATCTTTTGTTATCGGAGTGATAGGCTATAGATCCATCAGAGACTGTCAACCATCCATTGATTCTGCCTTGCAGGGGGCCAGGCGTGGGCATGTATTTTCCCATCTTGCCCTGAACCCTAGCATGTAAATTGGCACTTTAGTTTCTTTCAAATAACAACAGTATTCTTCCTCTTTGAACTTTCTTTAGGCCGTACTGGCGATGCTATTATTCAAACACAGATGCGGTCATTTATGTTGTAGACAGTTGTGACCGAGACCGGATTGGCATTTCCAAATCAGAGTTACTTGCCATGCTGGAGGTAAGAAAATATTATTAAAACATGGGTAAACATTTTCTTTTGTTTATAACATATGTTGTCATTTACAGGAATAATTTGAAAGAGTACAGAATTTTTGCTTTTTTCCCCCCACAATATCTTTTTCCCATCTTTTTTTTCTCAGCTCCTCATTTTTCCCGTCCTTAGTATCTTTTTTTTCTTCTTAGTATCTTTTAACACAAATTTCTTCCTGTTGTTTTTACTTGTTGCAGGTGTTACAGACAAGACAATCCAACCTGTTCTGTTTATACCATTTCCAAGACTAACCTCACTGCCCCGTTAACTTCTCATCTTTGTTGTCAAGTAATTTTCACCATTTGGCTTCATACAGATGATTGCTTGCTTAAAGGAGCTCGATACTCATGGATGATATTCTTCATTTTATCAGCCACCCTGTAACTTTGCTAAAAGGTGACCTGAAGGGATAATTTTGGTTCAAGGTTTAAAGCTTTTATCAGGGCAATAGTCTGAGCGGGTCCTCTGGTCTCAACCAGTCCAGTATGTTTGGAATTTTTAAAAATTTGAGTTCTGTTCCATACTTTTCTCCCGTTCTGTGAGGACCCATTTGCGGTGGACATGGTCAGAGTGGTCAGTAGTAGCTGCTACTCTCTAGTTCTTTAGTCCCAGGTTGTGTGACCATGGTTTGTGTACTATTAGCCCTGCAGACTGCTTTATTCCCTGAGTCTTGGCTGTCCTCCTCCTCTCTAGTTCCTGATCGGGACCAACTATTGTACCTGAGATGACCACTAGCAAGCTTCTCAGACTGGACACTTCTTTACCACTTTGAGATGCAGAACATTCACTTTGTGAACTATATTCTTTTTTTATCATTTATCAACTCTTACCACAATCCATCCATACATCAATTGTGTAAAGCACATTTGTACATTCATTGCCCTCATCATTCTCAAAACATTTGCTCTCCACTTAAGCCCCTGGCATCAGCTCATTTTCCCTTCCCTCCCCGCTCCCTCCTCCCTCATGAACCTTAGATAATTTATAAATTATTGTTTATTCATATCTTGCCCTGTCTGACGTCTCCCTTCACGTACTTTTCTGTTGTCCGTCCCCCAGGGAGGAGGTTATATGTAGATCCTTGTAATCAGTTCCCCCTTTCCACCCCACTCTCACCACTGATCCTGAAGCGATCATCCGCCTTAGATTCCCTGTGTTTCCAGTTCCTATCTGTACCAGTGTACATCCTCTGGTCTAGTCAGATTTGTAAGATAAAATTGGGATCATGATAGTAGGGAGGGTGAGCATTTAGGAACTAGAGGAAATTTGTATGTTTCATCATTGCTATACTGCATCCTGACTGGCTAGTCTCCTCCCCGTGACCCTTCTGTAAGGGGATGTCCAATTGCCTACAGATGGGCTTTGGGTCTCCACTTTTCACTACCCTGCATTCACAATGATAAGATTTTTTGTTCTGATGATGCCTGATACCTGATCGACACCTCGTGATCACACAAGCTGGTGTGCTTCTTCCATGTGGGCTTTGTTGCTTCTGAGCTAGGTAGCTGGTTGTTTACCTTCAAGCCTTTAAGATCCCAGACGCTATATCTTTTGATAGCCGGGCACCATCAACTTTCGCCACATTTGCTTATGCACCCATTTGTCTTCATTGATCATATCAGGGAGGTGAGGACACAATGATATGATGTGAACTATATTCTTGTTAATCGAGTTGTCCCACAAGACTATGGTCTAAGCCTTCAAGTACAGAAAACCAGTCTCACAAGGTGTTTGATTATGTCTAAGATGGATTCATAATTATGTCCCCTATGTGGTTTATAATGGATGTGCATGCATGCACGTATATTTATATACATAAGCCTATATAGATAGCTTTTATTTGTGCATACATGTACCCATGTTTTCACACTCACATGCCTTCACATATATTTTTTGGTAGTGGTTGATAGTGCTGCAAAATTGTATTTGTTATATCTTTTACCCCAAACAGCCCCTTCTCTTGTTCACTTCTTAGCGACAGCATTTGCCTACATCAGGCTGTATACTTACCTGCTCTCAGGGCTCCCTGTGCCCTTCACCAAAACTAGCAAGTGATCGGTATCTCTAGTTCCCTCCCTGCTTCTCAGTCTCTGATAACTACCAGTGAGTGTTGCTCTCTGTGCCTTGCCAGTTCTTCTTATAAAACTGTGACCTTACACTGAGTCGACGTCAAAAGGTTGTGGGGAAAATGTCTTTGAGTTTCATTTTTTTCCATGAACATTTTGAAGCCTCCTTATGCTTGTCCTTTGGCGATTGACTTATTTCAGTCAGCAAGTTTTTTGCCATTGGCATGTTTTGAGTGTAATTCGACAATACTCTGATCTTAGTTTTTTTCTGGCTAATTTTCAGAAGAGGATCTCCAGGTGATTTTGCCTAGTCTGTTAGTCTGTGCAATAACCTGTCCACCATGGGTGACTTTACTGGTATGTAAAATACCAATGACATAGCTCCCAGCATCATAGCAATGTGCAAGTCACCACCATATGACAGGTGGGTGGTGGAAACAAACCTAATGAAATAACTATATTAGAAAAAAGTGGTAATTTCTAGCTGCATTGACTGTGGCATTTCCCTGCACTGTTTGTGGAAAGGAACATTTTACACCCTTTATGAAAAAACAGTTCATAAGTAAGTGTAATAAGAACCTAGAAAAAAAGAAAGCTTTATATCCATAGAAAGCTCTGGCCCTTTGAATAATTGGGTGAAAAGAACATTACAAGTCTAACACTGGACAGAGACTGGTGTGGTTTATGGTGTAGAGCAGTTTCCTGAAGTGGCAGTACTACCCCTAGGGGGCTGCAAAAGCCAAGCCCTCCACTCAGTCCTGGGTCATGGGCTAGAGCACAAAAGTTTTCATTGTCGAGTGCACTAAGTTTGTTTTTTTTTTGAAAAGGGTGTGTGGCAGGCTGTGTAAGCTTGGGAATCAATTATACAGTTTATTTAGCTATTAATTGAAGTGCTTTTGAAAGATTTTTTTTTTTGTCATTTGAAAGAGCATTCATGATTTAATGTTGAGTTTCTGTTTTTCTCTGTTTCAAAAAGTGGAAAAGGATTATGTAAATGTGAAATATATAAGTACAGTTACTAAATAAACTTTGGGGTGGGGAGAGGCTCTAAGATAGATGTGGTGGTGATTATACAACTCCCTTTAATGTAATTGAATAATTGAACTGTTCAATAGTGATATGTGAATTATGTGCCAATAAAACTGTTGGGAAAATACATAAATGAAATTAAAAAACCCACAACTTTAATATCTGCAGAACAAAGCACTGGGCATAGGATTATGGATGGTGCACCTTTCCTTTATATTTTTTTATAGTTTTAGCCCATTTACAATGAATATTATATGTTATATATACTATATAATATATATGTATGTACGTATAAAGTGTTATGTGAGGGGTTACTGAGAAAACAAAACCGCATTTCCCCCACCCCCCCAAAAAAACTATGTATTTAAATTTTTTTTTCTTTCCAAAATAACATCACCTTCAAAGCCCATTACACTTATTTGTCAAATCTGCGATTCCATTCTTGAAAACATTTTTCAAACTCATCTGTTTGGATGGCTGACAGTACCTCCCTTGTTTTCTTTCTTCACCTCTTTTACTACCTTTCATGTCCCTCTTCATTCACAGAAACAAAAAAGTCACACGGAGGGAGGTCAGGTGAGTAAGGTGTACAGAGCAAGAGAGTCATGCTGGTTTTTTTGCCAAAAACTAGTGCACTGAGATGGCTGTGTGAGCAGGTGCATTGTTGTGTTGGCAAAGCCAGTCCCGTCTGCCACAAATCAGGCCTTTTTTGTTGCACACTGTTACGCAATCTTTTCAGAACCTCTAAATAGAAAACTTGATTAACAGTCTGACCTGGTGGAACAAACTCCAAATGCACTATGAGTCGACATTTTCTTTCTTTCTTTCTTTCTTTTTTTGACATTTTTGTCTGTTCTGGAAGTTGACGGACGTCCAGAATGAGGCTTGTCATCAGTCGACATTTCAGCTTTTTTGAAAAGTGTACCACTTGTACACTGAGTATTTCCCATAGTGCTGTCCTTGTAATCTGTGTTCAACATCACAAGTTTCTGTGGCTTTTTTTCTGAGCAGGAACCAAAATTTTACTGCATCATGCTGTTCTCTTAAATCAGCCAACACACACACACACACACACACACACACACTCGCGCGCACGAGGTTCTAGTAAAATGCTTTTATGGAAAAATTCTGTGAGCAGAGAGAACCTTTCTAGGTGATGCTACTGGGTGCACTAACTCAGAGCAACTTGTTTGATGCTCATTTATTGGGAAAAATACATACTATAAACACTCTGCTGAGCTATTTTCTGTTTTTTTTTGGGGGGGTACTCCTTCGTACATCATTTATAATGTATTATTCATACCATGTTATATATATGTTCAATAATGAGAAAATAAGACTTAAAATATTTTTGACCTTTTAAAACTTAATTGGAGAAATTATTATTTTATGTAGGAAGAAGAGTTGCGAAAATCCATTTTAGTGGTGTTTGCAAATAAGCAGGACATGGAACAGGCCATGACTCCCTCAGAGATGGCAAATTCACTTGGGTTACCTGCCCTGAAGGACCGAAAATGGCAAATATTCAAAACTTCAGCAACCAAAGGCACTGGCCTGGATGAGGCAATGGAATGGCAAGTATCATGTTTTCAGAAGCCATAAATATACAGATGTACCATATATACTCGAGTATAAGCTGAGGCACCTAATTTTACCACAAAAACTGCATTTAAAATGTGCTGGCAAACTCGGGCTTCTCCACGAGTATATTTGGTGCAGCCAACATGCGGTCATCAAGTTGACTCCAACTTCTAGAGACCCTTTGAGTCCCCGGCGTGGTAAATCTTCAGGGGAGCAGACAGCCGCATCTTTCTTCCACATAGAGGTGTACTCACATATATAATTTCCCTTTGGTCTTGAGAATAAAATTCAGATTTCTCAGCACTGTGTTCATAGGTGCTTTTACCCACATCAACCTAATTACAAGACGTTGACATAGGCCATCTCTGGCATAGTCCCGGTTTTTCATGGCCTCCCCTGATCTGTTTAGGTGAAGACTCAGGAATGTTCCTTGATGCTGTACCCCCAACAGCCTCACCACACACATGCTTAATTAAATGCCCTTGTCACAGATCTGCTCCACAGTATTCGTGACGTTGTCTTGTAATTGTTAGTTTGATTTGTGCATATACAGTGTGCATTTACTGTGCTACTATTGTGTGTTCACCTCAGACTCATCCATAGCAAGCCAGCCACAGTAACAGAATGGAAGATAGTAGATACTTGGTCTTTGTTGATTATCCATTCAAAGAATAAAGTCAGAGCTCAGATGTCGCTGTTTGTTGCCATTGAGTCAATTCTGACTGCTAGCAGCCCCATGTGTACGGAGTAAAACTGCCCGCGGAGTGTTAAAGGCTATGCCTTTTAGAAGCAGATTTTGCCAGGCCTTCTGGGGCACTAGAGTACTTAGCCAAGGAAGCGAAATGCCCTCAGCTCAATACCCTCATGGAAATTGAACCGACACACTGCTTACCCTCCATTCTTCCTTTCACACGCTTTGGGATTTCCCTCCAGTATGAAGCTGATATAGAGAGTCATTAATCATCCTCTCTACTTTAATGTTAACCGCTTGAGTGTTACCAAGCTGTGTCCATTTTCTCTTCACAGGTTAGTTGAAACATTAAAGAGCAGGCAGTAACTGGACTGCTTCTGAGCCTCTGAAAGAAGATTCCAACCTGGATCCCTTTGGAAGCAGTCAAGTGTTGTCACACGACAACGTTCAATCCACAGGATTATTGATGTTTACTGGACTGATGGCAGTATTTGTAATAAATACTGTATTTGTAGTTGGTTGGAGGGGCAACTCAAACTGATTGAACCGAGTGACTGATTCTTCTGTGTAATATAAAATATTCCTTTCTTGTGTTGAGATGTCTGTTCTACTCGTATGGAACTCTGATTTAAATATAGTCCTATGAAGAATGCATTCTTGTCGGTGGAAGACACTTATTTTTGAATTAGTCACTGAAGCGTGTTTGTAAACACTAATAATTTAGATTTTATTTTCCCCCCCAAATGAATTTAGTCTTCCCAAAGATTAGACTCAGAAGAGTAGCCTAAGAACATAGTGTTTGTGTAATATAACCTTCCGTTGTGTAGGTGACGATAGTGAACAGTTTAGTTTAAACATGTTGGCTGTAGGCATGAGTTTGAAATCATAATGCTTACCAGTGATTTATCTATAATGGTCATTTTATAGTAAACTTTGTCATTTTCGAAGCAATTTTTATGGATATTGACCTCATTGGTCTGTGTAGGAATTCTGAGACTGGAAGGACAGGTGGTAATTCTTCATTTTATGGATGTGGACCCAGGGCTCTAATGAGTGGACTTGCACACGGTTAATGCTAATGAAAGGAACAAAGTAGCATTTCCAGCCAGAAGCTTGTCCCATATGCTGCATCATATGTCGCTGAAAATGCCAAGATAGGCCACACAGACAGCTCTTACATGTAATTACACCAGTGGAAATAGTCATACATTCAGAACCAGTCCTGTCTACGGCAGATCAGTGCCGCCTCTGCCTGATCATGGCAGAGGTAGCAAAACAACTCCATGAACTTACAACATATTAGACTTTTTAGGTAAAAAAGCCTTTAAAAGGCATTGCATTTTTCTTGTCCTGTAAATTGATTAAAAAGTCAGTCTTACTGCTTCTAGGGCAAATGAAATATCTTTGGTGTGAAAAAAAATTAGGCTTACTGTTTGCTGTCAGATAGGTTTAAAAAAACCCTACTGAATTCATGTGAGAAAGGAACCTTTCAAACTACTCATGTACTACAGAATTAGGAAAGTGAATAAAAATGAAGAAACCAAACCTGTGGCCATCCAGCCGATTCCAAGTCCTAGTGACTGTAGAGCTGAGTAGAACGATCTCGGGGGTCCCCCAGCTGGCATCTATGGAAGCCACTGCTACAGCTCTCTCTCGCACTGTGGTGGGTGGGTTTGACTGCTTAACCATTGCACCACCAGGAATCTGAAACAATATAAAGTGAATATAATTGTTAGTAATTACTAAAGTTGGGCAGAATATTATTAAATTGAGTAGCTAACAAAGCTCACAAATGGATTGCTGACGGAGAGAGCCAATAGTCTGTAGTGTGTGCCAGCTCGTGGGGCTCTAGTGCTTGGTTTCCTGCCTCTGGCATCGCCCTTCCCGCTGCTGGACTCTAGTTCACTTGATTGGCTTCTCTCTTCACTGGTGGGTCTGACTCCTTTTATTCCCCAAGACTCATTTTTAATTTGCTCTCATTGAGATCTTTTGGGACACTTTTCTTCCAAGCACAGGCAGGTGTTCCAATGCACCTAATTGTACCTGAGCAGAGCACATTGCTTCATAGACTCCAAGTCACTAGATGGGAAAGATTTTTCAGGTACCTACCTTTTTTTTTTTTAGGATGGTAATGTACATTACAGTACCTCTGATATGTTCATTGCTCTCAGCTAGAAAAATAGCACCAATAATTTTACATGGTTTTCCTACTGATCAAGTGCATGTGACAGCTGGGACCAAGGATGCATCCAGTTCCATTAAAAAAAAAAAACAGTTCACCTATTCACTGAGGTATGGGGTTTGCAGCCCAGTGTTGACTCACCAATGGTTCAGCAACACCGAGGAATAGTGACCCGGGGAACAGGTGCTGGTTGGACTGAGCTGTGCTGCCTTGAACACTGGGGGCATGAAGGTGTTGCAAAGGGCAGCACTTGGATTCCTCTAATTTACCCAAAAAGATAAATAGGGTGTGCATTTATTTTTAACAAATTTATCAGGCAGAAAATAAGGCAGTTTCCTTCATGGGAAACAACTGCATGTTGCAAACATTTGATTGTTGTTATTTTCAAAATGTCTACTGAGTTATTTTGTGAGATGTTAATGATGGGGAAATCCCTAAGGAAGTTCTGGACTCAACCAAACTCCTTCCTTCAGTTTCTTTTCTAGAAAACAAAGAGGCCTAGACAAATGAAGACTGATACCAAAGGTTTCTTTGCGCTCTGAAATTATCGTGAAACTGGGCTAGTGGTTGTGCTGTGTCATGTGGTCACAGTAGCTGTAATCAATAAATTGGTGGAATGACTTTCATCTGAATACCTGAGATGCACTTTAAACTGTGGAAATGTAAGCTCCTTGAGGGCAGGGACTGGACCTTACATACTGTTCATATCCTTTGCATCTAGTGTGGTGCGCTTGGCACATGAAAGGCACTCAATAAATATTTATTAAAAGCAATAATGTGTGCTCTATATCCCTGTGACATTTGCTCTCTCTGATCTTTACCTTAGTTTTAACTTTTTTCCCCCCCACTTACTCCTCCCCCAATCAGAGCAGTTAAGTACATGCACTTGAAAGGTGTTTGTCGGTAAAGGAAAAAGGCAGCCAATTTGAACTGCTATGCTCTTTGGTCTCTACCTCTAAGCTTAGGTTTTATAATCTATTGTTTCCATTTCGGGAGTTGAAGAATAAACCCTTAGAAGCTCTTCTCTCTTTCTTTATCCCCTTCTCATATGCAGACTTTACCCACTTTCACCTTCCCAACATAGTTAACTACAGTTAGGTAGCTCAGGGTCTACATTACTATGACGGTGTTAATAAACATCCACTGCAGGATCAGAGTGTATTAAGATCAAAAAGTTCACAGGAAAAAAAATGGTAGTACAACTTTTTGGTTATCCTTGCATTTAAAAATTAAGTAACTGCTCAATTTGTTAAGTTTATGGATTGAACTATACCCCCAATATGACCCCTGTACCTGTGAACATCAACTTGTCTTTTGTTGCCATATTACCATTACTGGGACTTAATCCCATCTGAGTGGTGTCTTCTAAAAGGAAATTAGAAGGGTGACCATGGGGTGACAAGAGGCATCACTCCAATATACTTCCACTGTCACATGGCACTGAGATGGGTATTCTCTGACCATCGCCACCATGAGCAAGGTGCTGAGATAGGCAATGAAGAAAAAAACGCAAGCGTACCTTTTACTGGCTTATGAGTTAGGAAGGAGCTCACTGGGAACCAGTAGTTAATGCTCTTGTCCAACAGCAGGCGGGCGTAGGTGGTGGAGTAAGTCAGGCCTTGCTGTCCGGTTAACATGAGTTTGTTAGGCAGTCAGACTAGCATAAGGCTGGGGCGTCCATTAACGCATGCCCAGAGGGTCAAGCTACGGAAACAAAGGGGCGCCACACTGCACACGCTCAGAGGTTCAGGTTTCCCGCCAGGTATGCGTGGATGGGCGTTGCACCTGGATTGGCCCACCTCATTCATTTCAGCCAATGGGGTCGACCAGCGGTCGTCCACCACGCCTCCCCGCGTCCACCGCGTGACTTTGGCAGGCTGTACGGGAGGAGCCTTGGCTGCCGGTGTAAACCTGGAACTACTCCTAACGCTCATAAAACACTTGGATCACAAACCAGGCTTCGTGTAAATTCTTTCTCATGCGGAGCCAAGGACGGAGGTGTATCTATCCCCAGAGAGATCTAGCAAGTTCACATTAAGAGGTAAGCAGGGGGAGGATTAAAACATTTACCACACAGCCATGTGAGCTGCTTCATTTCTTACCGGCAGAGGGGCAACGAGAGCTCTGCTCCAGGCCCTCTTCAGAGGGCACGACAACCATGCCATCGTAACTAGTCCAATTCCCACATTACCAGGGCGTCTCTGCACAAAGGTGCTCATTTCTAGCTCCATGGGTCGGCTGACCCTAGCCTAGCTCTCCCATACTAATGCCAGAGCTAACTTACTCCACCTGCAGGCCTCCTCCTACCAGACACTCAATTTTATCACTGAGGACGGGGTGCTTATCTCGCTGGGCTGGTTCCGCTGCCTCTGCTATTGCCACTTTCCTGCCACTGCTTCTCACTGCCCTTGTGTCACAGCTCTGTCTCCTGAGTTGACGAGGTTCAGTTCTGGGATTTGGGGTCCAAAGGCACTCTGGTTCTTTCTCAATGGTAGTCGAGTGCCCCTTTCTGCCTCGGGGATTGCTCATTTTAGGCCTAGCAGAGTGGCAAAACGAACCCATCCCCTTATTCGAGTTGCATGCACCTTATTTGCATGGTACTCTACAGACGTGCTAGGCTTCTTATTTCCATTAGTAAGCTATTCAATCCCCTGGGTGGCCACACCCCCCTCCCATGTGTAGTTCCACCCAGTCTTCATAACTGGGCCAATAGATGACATTGTAAAATAGATGACATTATAAAAGACAAGAAGACAAGCTGTCAAGGTTTTCATCTTGCTTGGATCCGCTATCAATGCTCATTGCAGTGGCACTGTATTATTTAATGGGGCTCTTTTAGGCAGTCTCTAGCTCCTACCAAATGACCTTTCCCTGCATGGGTTTACGGAAGGTGAGGGAAGATACTGCTGACTCACCTGGGAGTAATTACAAACCACATTCCCTGGAGAGCCATCCTGCTGGGTATAAAATGAGCCCTCTGAGCAGCAGGAGGGATTTCATTACCACCAAGACCCAAGAGTGGGGCCAGTCCTCTGTACTAGATTCTGTGCAGTGTACCTCCTGGATCCAGGTGACAGCTAGACCATCAGAAGAGCAGCAGCAGAACCTGGAGCCAAAGCATGAACAGTGACGGGCTTCCCAACCCATGGAGCAAGTTGAGTGCTTTTGTGCAGGAGGCTGGCATGCAGTGGGGTGCTTCAGTGCTCCCAGAGAGCTTGAGCTGAATGCCTTCGGGTTGAGGCTTCCAGCAGTGGCATGCCCCTCTGCTATTAGCAGCCCTGAAACTTTGTATCACTCTCTGGTAAACTACCCTGAGCATTACCACCTGTTAACTTTTTTTTTTTTCCTGTTAACTTTAACAAACCCTTTATTTTTTTATTTATTTATTTTTTTTTAACAAACCCTTTAATCATGAATTTTGTCTGAGTTCCATGCACCGGATTTCAGAACCCAGAGAGATCAAGCAGAGAAGTTGAGAAAAATAGTGCACTCATGGAAGTAGCAGTCAAATGAAAAGGCTTTTTTAAAGTTGAGAAGAGCAAGGATGTCACTTTGAGGACTAAGATGAACCAGATCGGAGTGTTTTCAATGGTCTATGTGGAAGTTGGACTAAAGAACTGATGTATCTGAATTAAATATGTATGTATATACTTTATATGTATTTGAATTGAATAAAGAATATTGAAAGTTCCATGAACTGCCAGGATAAAAAACAAATGTGTTTTAGAAGTATAGCCAGAATGCTCCCTGTAAGTGGGGATGGCAAGATTTTGTCTCTCCTACTTTGGACACATTGTCAGGAGGAGCCAGTAACAGAAAAGAACTCCATGATTGGTCAAGTAGAGGAGGGTCAGTGGAAAAGACGACGGCTCTCAGCTGAGAAGGGCTGGCAACGTGGGGGCAACAATCAGTCATTACGCTTGAGCCCACTGTTGGTCAAGCCACCTCACTGTGGGTCTCTTTCACCGATTCTCTACTTCCCGAAGCACAATACCTTTGCGGGGACTGGTCTTTCCCGATAATGTGAACAAAGTGTGTGAGAAGACGTCTCGCCCGTCTAGCTTCCAAGGAATTTTTGTATTTTTAATACAAATTTTACAATTTGTATAAAAATCTTATACAAGATTTTTTGTATAATTTTATACAAAAATTTGTATAAAGTCTTATACAAGATTTTTTATATCTTGAATTTTTATAATTTTAATATTTGTCCTTTAGTGACAAATTTTTTCACTCAGACTACCCCCTTCAGATTCATCTATGTTCTGAGATGCTTTGCAAATTCATATTCATTATGGTTGTGGAATATTACATTGTATGCATGTACCACATCTTATGCAGTTACTGACTGATGAGCCCATAACCCCCTTGCTATTATGACTAATGCAGCAGTGCCCACGGCTGTGCCTTTCCCGAATGTCTTTGCAAATGTAGCTATAGATTTTGTACGTTTTTGGTTAAGCTTATGTATGATTCCTTTTACATTTTCTTGTTATAAAGCATAGCTTTCTAAAGAGTAAATGTATATGTTTTTATAATCTTTAGTGCTAGTGTTGTATGCATTTTATACAGTGAAGATACAATCATTATCATGAAATGTTTGGGCATGTTTAATTAAAAAAACCACAAGCATGATTATATTAAGCAATGTATTATACAATCTATGCCAAAATTTAATTTAAATATATAACCAATACAACTTGGTGGGACTTCAGATTAGAAAACGGCAGACAGTTCATTCTTCTGGGACAGTCAGACAAGAGGCAGACTGAGCTTGGCTACCAGCCCAGGGGCCCCTTACTCCACCATTGCCAAATCCTTCAGGCCGTGGCTTTTTTGCCTCTTGGCCTTATAGCCTGGGCGCAGGAACTCTATTTTCCTCTTCTTGGCTTCGCTTTTATTTTTGTGTTTCTTAAGCTTTTTCTTGGCAGCAATATCAGGATTGGTTACAAACTTGAGAAAAGAGGAGAAATTTTGTATTACTTTTACAGCAAATGCTAAACAACGAAAATCAGATGAAGAAATGCATCCTTCTGTTTAAAGTCCACATATTTCCGACAGAACCAACCAGGCCCTCTTCCTCCCTCAGTGACACACGCACACACACACACACACACACACACGGGTTTAATGCCCAGTGAGCACACCACACTTTCGCCTTTCCCACAGCAAACTGACCTCCAACGCCTTCCTCTTTTTCCGGAGAGCCCTTTTCTGATTTGCCTGCTTCTGTACGGAGGCAAAGGCCATTGAGAAGCTCTCCAGCCCGACCAGCTGTTTGAGTAACTCTATAATTTCCTGGGATAGATTCTTCAGCGAAGGATCTAGCCACACACAGAGGGTAATGATCAGTTAAGAAAGGACATGCTTAAACCAGGCTCGACAATGTGTAACACGTCAACTCCAGAAGCAGCTTCATCGCTTTATCACTTCAGCATTAAACAGGGATCGCTCACCGCCCTTAACGTTTCCCAGCTGGACAAACGAGCAGGAGCTCGGGATGCAGCGTCCCGGCACCAGCTCACCTAGGGTCCTCCAAGCACTCAGACCTGGGGCCTCCTTCCCAGCAGAGCGCTGGCTCTGAGGACAGGACTTTGAGAACAAGATGCTTTAGGCTGCTTTTTAACCAACTCAGCTCTGTGCAGACAGTGGTGACCCCCATCCCCAATCCACAAAGCGCAGAGACTTAGCTTGGCCCAGGATACCTTTTTTGGGGTGCCGAAGTCTCCTTTGAGAAATTGATGAAAAGCTTTCCTATTCTTCCCTGCTCCTCTCCCCAGATGTAAGCCACCTGAATTTTGTGCCTAACTTCAGGGTACCTGCAGTGGACCCCAGTTCATGAGGCAGAGACTGTGCCTTCCCCCATGACGGACCTACCGCTCCTAACTCAGTGCTGGGAGCATCTAAGGTGCTCAGTAAATACTGGTGAGTGAGAACTCCTGCAAACCGGCCCAGGCTCTGTCGGCGACCCCAGCTTCTCCCAGCGCCCCTTCCTCTCTGATGGCCCTCAAGTAGGAGGACCCGGAGGTAACGGTCTTAGGGCCGCACGACTGACACAGCTCCTGCTTTATGCTGTTTTATTTAACTGCTTTGACCTCCATTTACCTCCTCTCCTTCAAAACCCCCACTCCCCTCTTTTCTCATGATCAACAAAGATTAGCACCCGTGAGAAATAAACCAACTGTTCTAGGCCAGGAGAAAAAAAGGAAAAAGAAGAATTAAACTGGTATTTAAACTAAAGTCTCATGCAAAAGTGATACAGCATGTATTTTCACCTTGTAATTCTTAAGAATGTAACAGTATTCTATTGCTCATTCTTATTCAGAAATAATGTGGTTTAAACCACCCCATGTGATAGTCTTCCCTCTACTGAATACATGCCGAAGAGTGAAGCCTCATCTTCCAGGAGAGTGAGGTTCCCTCTGAGATGGGAGACACCGACGCAGTCTAGCAGCAGACAAACACTGTACTTTGTTTGCCGCCAGCGGTCTTCCTGTCTCACAAGTGTTCTTCCCAGAAAACCCACTTCTCTGGCAGGGCGTACAGAGAGAAAGGACGACGGCCGGAGGCAGGAGAGAAGCCACGAGTTGTCATGTGAAACTCTTACGGAGACCGGGCCGGGTTACCTTGCTCCGAATAGGTGCTGTTCAGCTCTCGAAACAAAGGGGCTATGATCATCGGGAGGTACGGCGTCACCTTCTCTGCTCCCAGATCCATGGCCACCGCGCCAAGAAACTTAAAGATGCACGTTCTCTGAAAGCACAGAGCTGGAGTCACTTGGAGTGCTCCGTTCACACAGTCAGGGAGGGAGAGGGAGAGGGAGAGAGGAAAGACTACAGCTGCAGTTTGGGCCTCAGAAGGTTGAGTGTTCGGAGGAAGTGTTCATCAGAGGGAGGATTCTTAGCAACTACAAGACTCATCTGAAGGGCTGCACGTTACCGTACCTTTAAAAGGTTTCTAGGTGTATAAGCAGACTCCAGCTTTGCCATCCTCGACAGCTTCAGGATCAGCCAGCTCAGCGTGGCTGGCTTGCTGGGCTCCTCCTTCACCTCTTCCTTCTCGTCTTTGGCACCTTCTGTTTTCCCTTCCCTTTCCTCTGGGGCCACACCACCTCCGACTGCCCCTTGTTCTTCCCCGTCATCGTCTTCTGCCTCGTCTTGCTTATCGTCAGAATCGGGTACGAGCAGATACAAGACTTTGGCTACAAACAACAGATTCTTCACAACCTTCAAAGACAAGGGGGGAGGGTGTGAGGGGTGGGATGACACTTTGGTTTCGAGATACACGTGGCTTCTTGGTAAAGCAGAAGCTAAAATCTGTGATCTATGACAAGAAGCACACACACCCAGGTACTACCTGATGAGATTAACAAACACCCCACTTCCCCATCATTTTCATGATCTTCATTCAAGTGTGCCTCTGCAAGTCACTTTCCTAGTGGACCTGAAGCCACAGGGAGGGAGGGAGGGGCTTCATTCCTGACACAGTGCTTTCATCTGTTCTCCATGAAACGCCTTCATTCCACACGAGATAATACATAACTCCCGTTTATCAAGCACTGCCTACCTGCATTATAGACGGCCTCTGCCACGTGCTACTTAGGAGAGAAAACCAAGGTCGCCCCCTCCAAAGACACAGGGAGTGGAGAGCCAGGCCTTTAGAATTCAAGTCCAAGTTCTGAATGACTGGGTTCCTCCTACTCCTCAAATCCCATTCACAGTTCACTCAGGGCTGATTTTAGCTTGAACATAGTGACTCATTTACTGAGCCCCTAACTCTGACTTTGTGGAATCTGTGGTCTTTTACAGCTACTGTGTGGTTGAACATTTCACGGTTTGTGCCACCTAGATACAGCCACCTTCTATCTGTCTGTTAAAATGGAGACCATTCCTTGTAAGCTACCCACACCTCCCAAGTCCGTCATAGAAGGAAGCAAGTTAAATCTTCATTGAGGAGAGTGCCCGAAGCAGTGGTCCTTGATGGCAAGCCCGGGACCTTGCTGTGGGTGTAGGCATTCAACTAATTTCTAGTGCGCTTCCTTTCAACCGCATCACCCACCTTGTCCACAAGGACTCGAGAGAGATGTGGCCAAGTCCTATACCACATCACCGCTGGCTTATCATCCACCAGCCCAACCGCTCCATCAAAAGACGCAACAGTACCAGGGAGCAACAGCACAGGGACCTGGCAGTGTGTACATTTATTACGTGGTTACAGATGGAGTCTCTATATGCTAGACTTCATCATATGAAAACAGGGATCTTTTGTGACGGAAAGATTGGAGGCTTCCGTCACACTCCAGGGTAGAGGTGTTAGGGTTGAAAGTGAACAAATGTACTGTGTCTTTACTGGAAATTCTAAAAGGAGTCAAGCGTAATGCCAGCATCGACAGATAAATATTTGCATGTATGTTCCTACTGCACGAAATTCCCCAGGCACCAAAGCAGCATCCAAGTGGAACCAAACCCTAACCAATGCCACTGTGAGCTGAGCCCTGACGTGCTGGTAGAAGCCCCTTCCAGCAAGCTGAGAGGATTACAATTCTTCTTTTTTAAAATTGTAATTCTTACCTGCTCTCCTAGGGACTGATCCAAGAACTTGGAATGCAGCTGATGGCAAGAAGCTAAAGAAATGCTTCTCATCTGTGGAGGGAAACAGACAGTGGCAGAAGACAGTGCGTTTCCCACGGTTTCAAAAATACCGCTATTTACTGACCGTAGCCGAGCCCGGGGCACTAGTTTTGTTCTGAAGCCCGAGATGGTTACATGTGCAGAACAAGGCCTGACCAAGTCACAAGAGAAGGAAGAGGTTATGGAGAAACCTTACCTTCTGCTCGAGGTCACTTGTTAGGAGCTTGACTGCCACAGGTTCGGGGAGTCTATTTTGAGTCTTCTTGGTCTGCCATTTTCTGACCAGCTCCTCTGGTTGGCAAGAGGCAAAGAGCAACCCAAACACCTGGGCTGCGGTGAGCCACACCCAGCTGTGGGCATGCCTCAAGTGGGCGTGCACGTGACCTACGGGAACCAAAAGGCACGGTCAGATGCCTCCCACCTTTCCTGAAGTTTGATGGGACATTACAATCGGTAGCATTTACTGACCGTCTAGTATGTGCTTGGAGTTGGGGGATACAAAGATGAACAAAATCATCACTGTTCCCCAGAAGCTCACAGGGGCTAAGGGAGGTGAGGTGGAGAGACACGAGAAAGAAACAGAACCACCACTCAATGTGGTAAGGAGTCTTATCATGGAAACAGGGATCTTTTGGGACGGAAAGATAGGAAGCTTCCATCACACTCCAGAGTAGAGGTGTTAGGGTTGAAGGTGGCACAGTGGTTAAGCCCTCAGCTGCTAGCTGTAAAGTGGTTGGTTCAAACCCACCAGCTGCTCAGTGAGAGAAAGATGCAGCAGTCAGCTTCAATAACGATGACAACCTTTGGACCTCTATTGGGCAAGCTCTAGTTTTCCTAAAGGGTGGCTGTCGGGTCAGGTGAAAGAAAGACAGTGGGTTAACATGGCAAAGGACCCAAAAGTGAAACCAAGAACCCTGACAGATCATTTCCACAAGAACTTTAAGGGAGCGAAGGGCATGAACAGTTACAAGGGACAGTTTCTCAATGAAAGGAGTCCTGTAGTACGGTGGGTTGAGCGTAAGGGACAGTTCTTCAATGAAAGGAATCCTGTAGTACGGTGGGTTGAGCGTAATGGACAGTTTCTCAATGAAAGGAGTCCTGTAGTACGGTGGGTTGAGCGTAATGGACAGTTCCTCAATGAAAGGAATCCTGTAGTACGGTGGGTTGAGCGTAAGGGACAGTTTCTCAATGAAAGGAGTCCTGTAGTACGGTGGGTTGAGCGTAATGGACAGTTTCTCAATGAAAGGAATCCTGTAGTATGGTGGGTTGAGCCTAAGGGACAGTTTCTCAATGAAAGGA